GGGAGGCCTCCCTGGCCCCGGGCGCCCGCTGGGCCGCCTGGGCATTTGGGTTGTTCCGGTTCCCTGTGGAATTAGTAACCCCAGCAAAGGACATGCGTCGCTGAGGGTGGCGGCTTCTCTCCGTTTCCCAGGAGTTAATAAGGACAGATTCTGAGAAGCAGAATTAATGGGCCCAAAAGCAGGGACTTTTTTTTAAAAAAAACTATCTTCAAATTGTCCTCCAGCATGGCTGCCCACAGCCCCCAAAAGGGCACACCATTGCCACCATTAGGCATCTCCACTGAAAAAATGTACATCCACACATGTGTACACATACATGTGCTAAGTTGGGGGATGGAAAAAGGCCTTTTTGACCCATTTGATTGGGTCGCTGCCTGGGGGTGCCTGATATGTGTGTGGCTCCCTAATTATCCATTCACAGCCTCTACCCAACACTGGGATCTGTGTACTTTTCCTGGACTTTAATTACTTATTTTGGGGTCCATCAAAGTATTTATTTTGTGATTTCTAAAGGTTATATTTTTCTAAAAAAAACCCAGTTATATTTCTTTGTTGCTAATCCTCACCCAAGGATATTTTTCCATTGATTTTTAGGGAGAGTGGAAGGGAGGTGGAAAGACAGAAATATCGATGTGAGAGAGACACATCGGTTCATTACCTTCCACACAGGTCCTGACCAGGGCCAGGGATCGAGTCTGCAACCTCGGTATGTGCCCTTGACTGGTTCGAACCTGGGACCCTTCAGACCACAGGCTGGCGCTCTATCCACAGAGCCAAACCTGCTAGGGCAAGCTATATTTTCTTTCAGTTATTTGTCTTGATTTTTTTAAATAAGTTTCAAGTGTTCATTTCTATGATACATGATCTGCAAATTGCATTGTGTACCCACCACCAAAGGCAAATCATCTTCTGACCCCCCTAAAATATTGAAAGTGTGATGGGGGCGTGACTAGCCGAGCCAGGCTGGCCCTGCAGCCTGCGGGCCCTGCTCGGCCCCTTTTGCACGGGAGGGGCAGTGGCAAGTGGCCATCAAAGTCTTAACTAGAGTCACTCTGACCAGCCAAGGGACCTCAACCTTGAGCCAGGTGGGGCCACTCAGGCCCAAGTTGGAGGAAGCCAGAAGCCTAGCTCCCCCCAGGCCCTGGGCCATGGGTCCAAATGCTTCCTGCAACCACTGCCCACCCCCAAGCCCAGCTTCTTCCCTGAAGGAAGAGCTGAACTGGCCAGGCAGCTGCCCCACCCACACCCACTTGGCTGCAGCCTGTGGTTAACCCTCCCCCTGCTGGGTGGCTCCCCCAATCCCTCCCTGCCGTCCCCGGGGAAACAGGCAGGGCCTGAGGTGAGAGGGCCCAGGCTGGGGGTCTTCCTCCATGGACAGGTGCAGGCCCCATGGGACATGGTGACTGATGAGTGACTGAGGGAGTGAGGTCAGTGGACGGGGCAGATTTCTCCCGGGCCCACAGGGTCATCATTCTGGGGCCTTGCCCTCCCTCAGTCACCTACCTTGCTGGGTCTCCTCTGGCATGATGGGGTGGGCAGTCAGGGCCCGGTGTCAGCCCCAGAAGCAGGACAGGATGGAGGCAGCAGTGGCTCCTCAGAACCCGGGGAAGGCCTGGCTGCCTCCCAGCCCGGCCCAAAATAACCCTGAGCTCAGCCCACGGGCTATATTTAGAGGGAGGGAGCAGAGTGGCCGGCAGGGGCCAGTGCGGCTCTTGGCTGGTGATGGAGCCCCGGCCAGGGCAGGCTTCCACCAGTGCACGTGCCCGGGGGCTTCCCTGGGACCCTGCCACTCCCATACATCCGCCAGCCCGGAGCCTCAGGCGCACCTCCAGCAACACCCCAGCGGCAGCCAAGACGTGTGTGTGGGGGGGGCCCTGTGCCTCGCCACTGCAAGACCCCTGCCCACAGCTGGGTGGTCTCCAAGCAAATGTGGGGTAAGCACCCACCACCGTGTGACCTGCTGGCACCAGGGGCTGAGGGTGATGGACAAGGGGGCAGATTGCCCCATCCAGGCGGCAGCCATGCTGCTCAGCCAGAGGACCTAACTTGAAGGCTGGTCCGTCTGTTACTAAGCCTGCAGCCCTGTGTGAAGGATTGCCCCGTCTGACCCGTTTTCTCACCTGTAAATAGGATGGACCATGGCTCCTCCTGCACAGAGCACAGGAGGCTGGGAAGAACCACCCCCCTGACGCTCGCAGTGTTTTGATCCCCTTTTCACAGGAGGCTGCCCAAGGATGAGGGGCGCCGCCTACCCTGAACGGAGAGAGGCCCAGCCCAGGGCCCACCCTCTGCTGTTAGGTCGTCACTCCTTCCCAAAGGGGACAAAGCAGGACTGGGGCGCTGCCTCCCCAACACCCAGCCCGTTACTCCGCTGTCTCACGCTGGCCTCCTTGACTCTTCTTTTCCCATTTACTTTTATTGATTTCAGAGAGGAAGGGAGAGGGAGAGAAACATCAATGATGAGAAAGAATCATTCATTGATCGGCTGCCTCCTGCACCCCCCCCCCCCCGGCCCCGCCACACACACACCACACTGGGAATTGAGCCCTCAACCCAGGCATATACCCCAACGGGGAATCGAACCATGAATGAGCCCGCAACCGAGGCACGTGCCCTGACTGGGAATCGAACCTGGGACCCTTCAGTCCACAGGCCAACCGACACTCTATCCACTGAGCCACACGGCTAGGGTGCCTCTGTGACTTTTCTAACACAGCAAGCTTGTGCCCACTTCAGGGCCTTTGCACTGCCTCTTCCCTGCCCGGACGTTCTGCCCCAGATGCCCCCATGGCTGGCTCCGTCACTTAGCTCAAGTGTTGCCGAAGCCGTTTTGGCTCAGTGGATAGAGCGTCGGCCTGCGGACTGAAGGGTCCCGGGTTCGATTCCGGTCAGGGGCATGTACCTTGGTTGCGGGCACATCCACAGGAGGAGATGTGCAGGAGGCAGCTGAACGATGTTTCTCTCTCATCGATGTTTCTAACTATCTCTCTCCCTTCCTCTCTGTAAAAAGTCAATAAAATATATTTAAAAAAAAAAAGTGTCACCCCCTTCGTGAGGCCCTTCTGCCCACATCTTTCCACATCACCCACTTTTATTTTCTCCATACCACTGCGCCCAGAAATTATACCATTGAGGATCTACTGTGCATGTCAGCATCTTCACAGGCCCCATAAGTCCCGCTTGGGCACATGGTGCCACCTTTAACCCCTTAGACAAAACATCCCGAAGCTGCCAGGAAGGTGCCCAAGGCCACACAGCGAGGCCTGGGGCCGGGGGTGTCTGCTGGGGCCACTCCAGCGTCAGCGGATAAAGTGTTTATTGCATTAGTACAGTGGCCCGCCCCCCAGCGCCGCCGGTCACAGCTCTGCATCTGGCCCGACGAGAGGCCCCTCTCCCAGGGCGGCGCTT